TTAGTGAGCTGTGACAGTTTCATGCCTTGGGACTGAATTGCTGAGGAGCGATGGCTGGCCAGAGGAGTGCTGAAACCTGAGGACTTGGCCACACTAGGTCTCCCAGCCCGAAGTTAAACTTTCCTGGGTACTAATGGAAGCATATAAACAAAAAGCAAAGATGGAGGTAGGTTCCCTTCTTGTCATTCTTGCAGTAAACGTTATTTGCTTTGTAGTTAATGCCCTTTGACAAAGGAACTTAAGCTCCTTGACTAGTTGCACAAGAGTAGATTTTACTTATTAGTCTTTGAGTCATTGTTTCAAAAATTTGTTTTAAAGGATCATTTGGTAATGCAAGATTGCAATAGCCTTTGTTATGCCTAGCAAAATGCATGTGCAAAACAGAGTCAAAGCATGCTAGCTCCTTCCCTGTCTCCTGTGGTGATGCACCAGTGGGTCTGTAGCAGGTATGTTTTATGTGTAAGGGTCCACACACAAGATTCTGACACTTCTGAGAAAGCAACCTGTAGCCAGTGGCACTGATCCTCAGAGAAACAGTGTGCTGCACTTCTCTTCACACCAGAAAGGCCAATCAGATGCTGAAATGAAAGCAGCTGGCCTTCCAAGCAGTGTGAGGAGGGTGCCTGATCTATCCATGCACGGGTCCAGCACTGCTTTTGGGATGAACCCCAGCAGATGTTCAGTCCTAACAGAATGCATTACAGCTCTGAGAAGCAGATTTGTGGCTTTTCTTCATCACACGCAGTTAGGTTTGCCTTGAATGCCCAGTGTAACAGGCTTCAGGGCTCTGCAGCCACCCTGTGTTCACTCCTCTGCTGGCTGAACTGGCAGCCCATGGCAGCCTGTCCCAGGCAAGGCTCCGTTGCTGAATGCTGTGCCAGTCCAGACTGCAGGAGCTGTGCAAGTTCTCTGTGCACCATGTCCCTTCCACAGCTGCTCGGGGCCTCTCCTTAGGGCTTCTCTGGGGACCAGTGGGACCAGCGAGGTCACAAGGGGCCATTCCTTTGCTCTAGGAAAACAACTGGCTGAGAACTTCCTCTCAGAAGCTGTAGCTTCTCTGGGAAATTTCTGAAACTTTAAACTTACTACAAAACCACTAGGCATATTAGCCAAGATGTGTGTGTATCTATTTATTTATTTATTTTTAGTGTGAATTTAAAAAGGCAGGCATTTGATAGAAATAACAATGAGACCTGTTTGTTTCATGTGTTTGTGTGACTTTCTCAAATGCTTCCAAACATCTCAGCTACTGTTTAGCTGAAAATTGTTTTCATCTTTTTTCACCTGTTCTATAGAAAATAAAAGATTGCAACCAAACCATGTGTTTGGGGAAATTTTGTATTTTTATTGAAGAATATATTTCCAGCAAAGTTTTTTTTTAAAATGCACAAAACCCAGACTTCATAAAGAAGCTTTATTCCATTTTTTATTTTGTGTGCTGAAGGTTTTTCCTTGACATTTAAAATCAACCATGTTTGCTATCAGAACTGATGGAACTGATACATGCTATAAGACCTAAACTGTCATTTCTTACTGTTTCCTGTGGCTGCCATGATTAGAAACAAAACCACAGCAACACAAACAAAACCAAAAAAATTTGAGCAGCCAAAATCATTCAGTCATAGGGTTTATTATAATTTCCTGGTCAGTGTTTGCCCCACAGACCCAGAGCTCTTTGGCAGCTGTAGAGGGGAAGATGACCTTGCTGGAGTCAGTGACTGTCCAGGCTGAAAGCTTGTGTTTCTTAAGTTCTGTGTCTCAGTTTCCCCATCTGCAAAGAAGGGATAACCCTACTCAGCTAGATTGCCAAAATGCTTTCCTATCTGTGCCTGAATGCCTGGAGCTTCTTGCAGAAAAATGTGTGGTGGAGGTAAAGTCTGTGCTGCTGAACGTCCCTTGTTCCTGAGGAAAACATCACAGAAAGGATCTCCAGCTTGAGCAGGGCTTCAGTGTAGCTGGAGAAGAGCATCAACAAGATGTGGGGAAGAATTTGCAGCTGGGGTGCAGAGAGGTATGAGAAGATATGTACACACTAAAAGATGCAGCACCCAACTGAGCTGACGACTTTTGTTCTTGGTGAGGCCACGTGGGATTTACTTTGCAGGGCCATGAAGAGTTGCTGGCTTGGGATCCATAAACAGGTTAGCAGTCACCTCTGCCCAGGCACTAGTGGCACGTGAGGTTTTTTTCTTGCCCCAAAATTCTCCTTTTGTTGGGACTCACGTGGTCTTATCTACATGTACTGATGTTCCAGTCACCTGCCTTTCTCTAGGCTCAGTCTTGAGGCCTAATGCAGGGAGGCTCAAATTGCTTTGAGCCCTGCCAACATGGAATTTCTGGCACTTCAATATGCTCCTTGTTTGCCTCTTTGTGAGCAAATTCTGCTTCACACCAAAGGCTCAGTGCACAGCTACCAGCTTGATGACAGGAAGCTGTCTGCTCAGTGAGCTGCTCCCACCATGCTGCCACCACCTTGGAGCAGGCAGGGGTGGTGCCATTCCTCCTTCATTTCCCACCAATGTGCTCCATTTTCAGGATTCCCCAATACTTATATTCTGACATCTAGTGTAAACGATAGCTTTGCTGTTTTTCATCAGCTATTATTTTCTGCTGTGGGCTAGAGGCTGGAAATAATTTTCTACTCAAGACTGACAGGGACAACACAATTCAGAAGAGGAGCCATTTCTCAGAATGTGCACAGGCTGAGCCTGGTGGCTGCTGGATTTCAGTGGGGTCAGACTTGGTTCTCTAATTCCTACATTTCCCCTACTCACCTCCCCAGCAGGTTCAATGAAGGGAAAAGGAGGCAGAATTGCATCCTCTGCAATTTTATTTCAAGAGCAACTACATAAAAGAAAGAAACAAACGGAAAAACCCACCACCCCTTTCACACAAGTTAAATTCAAGGTAGCTATACAAAACTTTTTCTCCACTGTACACACAGAGTTTTGTTCAAAGTAGTGAAGGTGAAAAGGGGAATACATCCATCTACCACTAAAGCTTTCTCCGTGAATTTACTGTGATCTGTAAATACTTTGATTTTGTAAATTGTTTTAAAAGAAAAATCCACTAGCCTGTGCCTATTTTTCCTGCTTAGGCAGCTAAACTCTGGACCCAGAGAGGATTCGAGTGGAAAGCTGTTAACAAGGAAGTGGGGTCCTTGCTCATTGTGTCTTGTGTCCGTGTTTATTTTGTCACAATATCCTCCAGTAGGGGAGAGTGAGGTAGAAGCTGCCACACTGCCATCTCTTTGAAAGAAGCTGTTACTTGTCTGTGAGTCTGGGTATCCTCCAGCTCACAGTATGCACTTTGCCAAGCTTTTCCCACGGATTCATGGAAGAGGACTTCTTCAAAGTTGATTGCAAGTAAAATAAGTCACAGACCTAAATTCTCTTGTCTCTATCTCCAATTCAAGTCTCCATCACTTTCATTACATGAATGTTCATTAGCCTGAATAAATCTTTTAATCTGCTAGCCCTTTTATTTTTCCACCCAAATGATCACACTGGGAGATACTGGGAGGTCCAGCATCCCAAACTTGGCTTGGTGGCTGCCACCTGGTAAAACATGAGCAAAACATGGGCTTCTCAACATGCCTACTCTGCACCTTCATCCTTCATCTCCATGGTGCTCTGTCTCTGTTACCATGAAAGTACCTGAGCTTATGTGTTTTCTGCGTGTAATCCTTGTGAGTTCTTCAAATCAGCATCACAGTCCTGAACCCTTAGCCTTGTACCCCAAACTGTGCTGACAGATTTTCTGCTTAGCAGATAAAAGTTATTGAGAGGAAAAACGGAGCTCTTGGAACAAGTGCATCTAATCTTTCTGTAGGAGCAGAGGGATTTTAACATCTGAGGACTGAACTCTGCATCACTGGGGCTCAATTTTTGGTTCTTGCCTGGGCTTTTAAACGTGGCGTTGTGGAAAAGCGTTTTATTTTTTGTGCAGCTTTGATGTTGTGTGGCTGCCTCACTGTGTACAGTAGCTCACTGAAGCACTTCAAAGCAAGTGACCAGGGCCTGTAACCTCTGCAGCTGCACTTCAAGGCAGCAGAGCAGGTATAGCAGGGCTGCAGTGAGCAGCACCACGTGTTGCTCTGTAATAGTGGACCATGGTGCAGCCTGAGAAGTGCACCAGCCCAGCTCTGTCTCTGACAGACAAGGATGTCAAGGAGGCTGAGTGGTAAAAAACATAAGAGTCAGGCTCAGTTTTCAGAATGATTTGAGCTAAATTCTGGTAAACCTGGGGAGGACACTTCAGCCTTTTGAGTCATATCTAGCCCTCAGGAATGTAAGAAGTGTATTTGCATACACTGAGTTAGCAAACTGGCTCTTGTTATGTGTGTTTGTTGGTTGTTGGGTTTTTTTTTGTTTGTTTCCCTTTCTCTCCTGTTTATATCTGTTCTCAGATTTTCTGTTTGCAAAGGGTGTCCTGAGGTGATTGCATTTGGGTTTTGGTTTTGTTGTGTTCCCCCTCACACACACCCTACCCCCCAGCACCAGCTCCTGTACCTGCTCTATTATGGTAAAGCCAGTAAAACACAGACTTGCACTAGGCAGCAGCAGACACTGGCAGCTGGTTCCTCTGCTTCCCAGATGAGGTGGGACTTCATGTGGCTGCTGACTCTTCAGGTAGCCAGAGCAAACAGATGGTGAGACACCACACCTGGCAGAGAGTTAAAGCCTGCAATTAGACAAAATACTGTTAACTAGATTAGCAATATGGGAAACCAAGTGGCCTTAACTGAAGACCACACGATCCTGAACGAATTAGGTAGCAAAGCACAGTGTGTGTACAGTGCCCCAGGTCACCAGAGGGGCTCTGGGCAATTGTAAACTGGGCTGCTTTTCTTCTGCCTTGTGGAGGTGTCTGTTCAGCTTATGGATCCTCTTTGGGGACTGGGACTGTGATGTGCTTGAGTATCTGTCATGTCTTCTCTTCGTCCTTTAGGGCACACTTGCAGCTTAGAGCTTATTTCCCTGCATCCCTTTGTATCCCAAATGCCCAAGAAGCATCCTGATGTCCCTCTTTTGACCCTTTCAGAAGTTAAACAATTCCTACTCCACTGTTACATTGAAGAAGCACTGGAAATTGGCTTTTGGTCACCAGGGTCTGATCTGGAAGTGTCTCTGAGGTAGGTGGTAGGTAGGTTTTCACTGTGTGGAATTAGGGTCACCCAGAATTGAGGTAATTTTATAATTTCATGGAAGAGTTTGACAAAAATACCTGAAGTTCAGCTCTAAAACTTACTTTTTAACAGAAACAGTTGAAACAAGCACATTTTCCAAGGTGACATAAGTGTTGTGGAATCACTGCATTCTCCACCAAAAAAAAAAGAAGAAGCAGGCTGTAGCCAAGATGCCCAATCCACCAGTCTGAAAGCCTGTGATCCCACATGTGAAACTCTAATAATGCTTGGCCAGCAGCTCTTAATGTAGTACCTCTGTAATTGAGAACAGTGTCCTTAAACCCTACGTCGTCTCAGACTTCCTTTTGAAATGCCTCAGCGCTTTCTCCTCCAGCTGACCCAACCCTAACTGTTACCCTGACACAGGGAGTTGCTGCAGCCTTTTGCTGGTCTCACTGCAGTTTATTTACTCTGAGGTCCTAAGCGAGGTTTGGAGCAATTTCACTTGCCTCAGTTTCCCTGAGCAGTGTGACGCTGCTCGAGTCGCCTCATGAGAACGAGTTAATTGCCACTCGTGGCAACATAAACTGCCCTGAGCTCATCAGAGGGAAGCTGCACATACCTGTGAGCCCCAAGGGTTACCACCACACTCCTCCCTGGCTCTGTGTGTTTACGCTTTAGAGTGCAAAGTTGTCATTTTCTTTCCCGTTTTCTTTCATGAGCTTTGCTCACAGAAGAGGTCTCCTTTAAGGCAACTGAAGCCCTCTTTTCCTGAGATTTTTGTTTCAGGCATTGGCCTCAGCACGGGGCAGTGCCAAACCCTTCCACTGCAACAGAGAATTCTGAAAATGTCAATGCTGAAGCTGCAGGTTTGTCTGCATTGCATGTTTTTGTATCTTAAGGAGTCCTCTCTGCTTGCCTTTCATGCCATTCAGGTGCATGTCCTGCACACTTCTCTTGTCACTCCTTGGATAATTTGATTTGTTCTTCATAACAGCACTTGGTAGAGGAAGGGTTGTAGAAGGTGGTATTCCTCTTAAAGCTCTTGGGCCCCTGGTGATTAGGGGACAGTGTCTACTGAACAAGGAAAAGCCAGTGAGGGGGCTTTGATGTACCCCAGGGCTGGGTAAAACAGAGGCAGATAGAGAAGGGCAGATACAGCAGTTACCTGTATTCTTCTTGTTGTCTTTTTTCTCTCTTTGTCTATCAATCCAAACTCAGGACTGACAAAACCAAACTTTTTTTTAAAAAAAGAAGTCTTCATACCCACCTTTTCTGCAAGTTCGTTTTCCAGTTCACATTAATTTTTATCAGTGGAGAGGGCTTTGGAGCACAGCCTGTACTTGTTACTGAGACTCAGCCCTTTCCTCTCAGTCTGCAGAGGCTTCACTGGCACCTTGTCACCATCAGGGATTCAGATACCTGGCAATGTTTTATAATCTCGCCAGGACAAAACAAAGATCACACAACACCAGGTGCACAAGGAGGCACTGGGGCTGGTGTACAGTCTTAGGAGAGATGGGGCAGAACCCCCTCGCTTCCTAACCCTCCTCACCGCAGTGGGAGGCTGGGGATGGATTCTGCCTTCCCTCCCCTGGGGTGAGCAGCACGGCAGGACCTGTGAAAAGGTCTAAAGGTGATCCCAAACGGCGAAATTAAGATGCAGACGAGGTCAGATGCACAACAAACTTTACTGGAGTAACACAACAAAGTCCCTAGAGCGGATAGGACAGGGAGGAAAGCAGAGAAAAGAAAGGAGAAAGCAGAAATACAGAGCACAGCAAGCAAGAGAACAGTTGCCACCACGGCCCAGCGAGGTCGTTGGTAGGGAAGTGCTTCCCTGCACCCATAGTGTCCCAGATTTGTATGCAGTTCTTGCCCACTGCACCCCCACTTTTCTCCCTGTACAGGTGAGAAAATTCTTCTCTCTTTTCTGTGCTCCTCTGAGATAGGAGGGGGGAGGTTATGGTGCCGGGGCTATGCCCTGCAGATAGTCTTTGTTTGGCTAATTCATGAGATCAGCCATTGCAGAAGAGGAGGTTGAGACAACCGGCACCACAGGATTTGTTTATTGCAGTGGGGGTTTGGTCCTAGGAGGCAGCTTGAGACAGACTGGCACTCTTCATCTTTTCCTGCTAAGTCGGTGGTTTTCATGAAATCTCAAGGCCTGGTTTTCACTGGATATTGTGCTCCCAGCGCCAGGTGTAGAACTCCTTTGTCTCCAAACTCAGCCTGTCCCACACTCAACTCCCCAGTGTCACAGGGAGGGAGTAAAACAGTTTGATGGGTTGCTGAGACACCTTATTAGTCCATCTCAAGGCAGACAACAGATATCTTGAGTGCCTAAGTACATCACTTATCTCTTGGATTGTTCGAGACAAGCCCTATATGTCCTGAATGTCACACACCTCCAGTAATTTAGGAATGAATAACCTGCTTCTGCTGCTGTAGGTCACGTAACCAGGAGGTCTGTATAAAGTCACCAGCTCCAGACACGTCTGCTGGACTCTAATTAACATTTACACTGTGCACTTGGGCCGCTTCCCTGATGGGCTTGGATGCCAGGCAGCTTTAACTGCCCTTGCCTGATGCACAAACCAGGTTGCCACATGGAAAGCTCAGAGGGTTCCCAGCTGAGAGGTTCCTGTGAGCAAAGAGAAGGCTGGCTGTGTGCCAGGAGGCTGCTGCAAAGGGCCAGGCTGCTCAGCAAGCGTGCCATATGAAAGGAGGAACAGCTGAGCAGGTTTCTGGATACTAGAATGTAAGGTGGTCTGATTCTGTCCCTGCTGTGGATGGGGGGGGGAAATCCCTGCTCAGCTTGGTGCTCCTGCCTGTGTTGCCCTTAGGCCTCAAAGCAAAGCATGGAGGTTTAGCCAAATGTGTTTGTTGGCTTGCTGCTTTTAGGTCTAAGCGTGTAGGGTGTTGAAGCTTCTTTTTTGGTTGAATCTCTCAGCTTCAGTACTGCTGAGCCAAAAGAGAAGAGGGTAAGTAGGTGCTGAGGGAGGGAGGGACACTGGACGTGAGATGCTTGGGAGGGTTATGCCCCTTCCCACAGACAAAATATATGTCTCCCATAGAACCGTTTCAACGTGTAAGGGCGACTGGATGGACGCGGTTCCCTGGCCGTGGGAACGGCCCCGGGGCTCTGTGCTGAGGGTCTGTCCTGCCCGGGGGTCTGTCCTGCCCGGGGGTCTGTCCTGCCCGGGGGTCTGTCCTGCTCGGGAGTCTGTCCTGCTCGGGAGTCTGTCCTGCCCG